TGCCATATTCGCTGTCTGTGGAGTTAGCTGGCTGTAGACCACCTGTAACTCCAGCTCCAGAGGATCCAAAGCCTCTGGTCTCTGCAGCACCTGCATTCATGTGCCCACAACTCCACCCCATATATACATACTTGGAAATAATGAAAATTCTTTTTTTTTTTTTAAAGATTTATTTATGTATTATGTATACAGTGTTCAGTCTGCATGTACGCCTACACACCAGAAGAGGGCACCAGATCTCATTACAGATGGTTGTGAGCCACCATGTGGTTGCTGGGAATTGAACTCGGGACCTCTGGAAGAGCAGCCAGTGCTCTTAACCTCTGAGCCATCTCCCCAGCCCGCAAATTCTTAAAAAAAAAAAAAAAATCCTTCAAAGATGAAACAGAGCAATGTATAAAATACTAAAACACACCTTGCGCATGTGCACACATTGACATAGAGTTAAGATACACATACACACAAACCGGAGACATCCAACAGACCTGAAACCTATCCAGTCAGGCTCCCAGCTACATCCACCCACCCAGCGGATGGTGGAGCCTCCATGTTATCACACTGCCCAGCTCCGAAACCCTTCACCCAGGAGATGGATGGAGTCCACAGCCTGTCAAACTCCAGCTCTCTCTTAATCTCCAATGTTGGCACCAGGGACCAGAAGGAAGCTATATGGCTGTGAGGGGGAGTAAGGGAACTCCATGCTTGGCAGGAAGTGACTTGGGGTTCGGATTCAGAATCTGATTCCTCCCAAGTACCAAGGAGCTGATGGCTAAACTCAGCAGATGGCAAATTCACTGCCAGGGCCTCGAGGAGCCCCTCGAGCCCACCCACTGTCCCTACCACATGTACGTGGTGATAGAAATGGCTGGGAAGGCCGAGCCACCAGGCTGTCCAAGAGCATAATGATTGGTTTACTGGATCATGAGCCCTGAACAACTGGTGTGTGGGCTGGTCCTCACTGGGTACACAGTATCTGCCACTGTGTTAATTGGATGACGGCTGAAAGAGAAAAGGAGGAAGTGTTTTTAAATGGTACCTTGAATTGCCTCCCAATTACATCTTGGCCAAGTGAGTATTAAAATTAGTACCTGTCCCCAGGAACATGTCACATGCCTTCAAACTTGGACGGGGCGGGGGAAGGGGTACAGAGACAGGAGGATCACATGTCCAAGGCAAGTCTGATGTGAGCTCCAAGCTAACCTGGGATACACAGGTGGACTGAGAGTGTGGCTCAGTGGGTGGAAGGCTTGCTCCTATGTAAAGATGGAGGACTAGTATGCAGCAATGCACAGGAGACCAACATGGATTGTCCTCTGACCTCCACACACCACCTGTGCACCCACATATTACACACACACACACACACACACACACACACACACACACACACACGAAGTATGAGGTCCTAAGTCAGGGAACTGGTTTTAGGTACTAGGGTGAATCTGAGGTTTTAGTTACCTCAAAAAATCTGTGCTGTCTTGTGTGTTAGGGTCCCAGGCTTTTCCCATTTGACATCGGGCAGCAGAAATTTTCTTAGTCTCGTCAGTTGTTCCTGTGGTAGGTGGGGTGGACAGCAAACTTCCTCTGTGCTCCATCCCAACATGGAGGGGACTGTCTACCTCCGGGAACGTTCACCTCTCCCCAAACTCCTGGACATTAAGCTCTCCATGATACCTCCAGACTATTCCCGGAAGCGCCTGGCTATTTCCACAGAACCACTTCCAATATTCTGCAGGCCTTCTATCTTGAAAATTATTTTCTGGCATTTGAGACGGGGTCTCACTATGCAGCTCTGGCTGGCCTGGAACTATGTAGACCAGGGTTACTTAGAACTCATGGAGATCTGCCTGCCTCTGCCTCCCAAGTGCTGAGTGGGATTAAAGGTTTGGCCAAGGGGGCTGGAGAGATGGCTCAGAGGTTAAGAACAGTGACTGCTCTTCCAGAGGTCCTGAGTTCAATTCCCAGCAACCACGTGGTGGCTCACAACCATCTGTAATGAGATCTGGTGCCCTCTTCTGGCCTGCAGACAGACAGACAGACAGACATGCAGGCAGAACATTGTATACTAAATAAATCTTTAAAAAAAAAAAAGGTTTGGCCAAATCTTTTATGTTAAGATTATAATATACTTCATGTATGTTGGTCTGTGTATATATTTACATGCATGCTGGTGCCCAGAGGCCAGAAGAGGGCATCAGACCCTCTCTGGAGCTGAAGTTATAGGTAGTTGAGACACCTGACATAGGTACTGGAAAATGAACTCGTGTTCTCTGCAGAACAGCAAGTGGCCTTAACTGCTAAGCCATCTCCCCAGCCCCAGGACCCTTAATTTCTTGTTTTTAAAGACAGGGTCTCTCTATGAAGCTCTGGTTAGTTTGGAACTTTTATGTAGACCTTGAACTCAGAGAGCTACCGGTCTCCTGAGTGTTCGAATTAAAATATACATGTTAAAATTTATTTTTAAACTTTATTTTTATTTTTTGTTTTTTTGAGACTGGGTTTCTTTGTGTGGCTTTGGTGCCTGCCCTGGATCTCGCTCTGTAGCCCAGGCTGGCCTCGAACTCACAGAGATCCGCCTGGCTCTGCCTCCTGAGTACCTGACAGTTTTAACTCCTGAGCCACCTCTCCAGCCCCATCTAAAATCTCATTTAGCTCAAGCTAAAACTTCTTGAATGTCTGGGTTAGTAGTTCATTAAATCCTCGCAAACCTTCTCATCCCGTAACTTTTTTGTGTGTGTACAAGCACTGGTGGGCATGTGTGTGGCGGCCAGGGGACTGACTACCTTGGGGATCATTGCTCAGGTGCTGGACATTTGTGCCACCATGACTTTTTTTCTCCTTTTTGACAGGGCCTCTCCTTGGCATCACACTCACCAGTTAGGGCAGGCCGTCCAGGACCTGTCCCGCCCTGTTGGGACTACAAGCACATGCCACTACACCAGCCTTTTCTTACAACGGTTCTGGGGGTCATGCTGGGGGGATCCATGCTTGTATGGCCACTTTACCTGGGTCTCCCCAGCCCTTCTGACTTTGGGATCATTAAACTGTTGAAGGTTTTAGTGAACCCGTCACGTATTTGTACTTCACGTTGACAAAAATGGAATTCTCTCATGGGAAAACACCTACCTATATTTGCAATCACTCAGAAGTCGATACGAACACCACGCCTGTGGGTGTGCTCTTCTGAAGGGACAGAGGAACCTGTGGTCAGGCATGCACGAGACGGCAACCCAGGAAGCATGCTTTCCAGTTCACTCTGGACCGAGGTGGCAGCCTGCGCAGGGCCATCCTTTCCCGGGAACTACGGGAAAGTGGCTTTTGCTTGTCTGCTTCCCCTAACCCACATCACTGACTTGGATCTTTGGGTCTCTGCCTGCTGTCGCTCTGGCTGATGGTGCCTGTTTGCTTGTTCTGTGCGCTCATGCCTCCAGTTTTCTGTGAGTTAATCCTGCCAGGGAATATTCCAGCTCTTCTGTCAGCCTCGGGCAGGAAGCTAGCCTGGGCTGGTGTCTGCCGAGACCACACACCTGACATGCAGAACTGAACTCTGCCCTGTTCATCAAAGTCATCACCCCCCCAACACACACACACACCAGCTGGTTGGTCCTTCCAGTAAAAAACTATTTTCTAAATGAACCACCAGCATTCTAAGCCAACTTGAGCCATTTTCAGTCAAAAATAAAAAAATTTAGGTATGTGTCTTATGTGTAGGGCACCAGAGGCCAGAAGAGAGCGTTGAGATCCTACAGCCTGAGCTGTGGGCAGCTGTGCATCCTAACATGGGTGGCTGGGACTGAACCGCGGTGGTCTAGACCTCACCGCTGGTCTCTGCCCCTGAACTCTGCATTCTCAACATCCCATCCCTGTCCTCAGGAGGCCCACCTCGCCTTTTCCCTACCAATTCATCTGACACTGGATCTACAGTCCCTCACACTTGTCTCCCGAGTTTCCCTTGCCTCAGCCCCTTGTGGATGGAGCCCATGATACTCAGCTTACCCTTGGCTTCTCTCGGCTGCCTGGCTGGCCCCCACTAGGACACGGGGCTCTGCTTCCTCCCCAAAGTCTAAAGCCAGCCCTTCCCTCCTGGATTAGCACTTGTCCCTGGCCCCAGGTTTCTCCACACAGGTGTGCTCTATGTCTTTGGCATACTGTATAGAGAGCAGTATGGCAGACTGCCCAAACCAGCTTCAACAGAGGCTGTGAATTCACAACTCCACCACCTAGGGGAACCGTGACCTCCCTCTGTGCTCGCTTCCTGTGATGGTGTCAGAACAGTTGATCTTTGTCCGGTAGGTGTTACTCAGCAGGGATGCCCGTACACTCACAACTGCGGCTTCTTCCTCAAAGGACAGTGAAGGCCAGGCAGCCACTGCCCCAGCTGGAGCTGAGAGGAGCAGGACTCTCTCTAGGTTACAGGGGTGCATGCAGATAAAGGGGGGAGCCTCAAGTGTGTCACCCTGGAGCAAGTGCAAGCTCTTTTCTCTGCTCAGGGTCCTCCTATGTCAGAAGGCCCGGTCTGATGCCCTTGAACTGCCGTTGACCTGATCAATGGCTCAGGAGAGGCTTACAGAACATTAGGTTCAAGCTCAACAAAGCCCAAGTGCATGCAGGGGTGGGTGGGTGGGCAACAGAAAAGCACCCAGGGCCAGCCCCCATTTCTGGTCCTCCCCTCCCCCTCACTACCACACATAGAGTAGGAGGCCAGAGGTTGTCCCCAAGCAACAGGGACCCAGCTTAAATCAAATTCAATCAAAGCACCTAGCTTAACACACACAGCATTCATTCCCTAGAACTGGGAGATAAAGAACCCTCCATGAAAGGGCAGTGGAGCTCAAGACAGTGAGAAACTAACCTGCTCCACAGGGCAGCCCTCCTCCCTCTTCCAGGCTACATGGCAGAGCTAGGCCCCACCACAGCCCACCCCGACCCAAACTGACCGCATAAGGAAAGACAGAAGTGGACTCAGAGGGGCTGCCGCCAGACAGACACACACAGACAGATTAACAAGCTTGCATTTAATAAGTCTGAAGTCATTCTCAGCACATGGCATTGTACACGGGCATCTGTGGAAACAGATTCATTTTAACAGGTCGTCGTTTAAAAAAGTCATAGATACTGTGAGTTCTGTATAAACGGGTGGACGGCAAGTTAGTTCCTTTTGATTTATAAGCCTCAGCGTCACCGCAGAATAAAGAATGTAGCCAAAGAAAGCGCTACCGGTCACTCGTATAGGACAGTGTTGTTTCTATAATTTGAAGCTTTCTGAATGGACGGGTTCAGGCCTGATCCAACTGTGAAAAGATTACTCAGTGAATAGACTATCTGGGAACCGTACACAGTGTCATTAACTTCCATCACTAAGAGCTTACCCAGCACTATATCACTACTGCCATTTAAAATAAAAACAACTTGCTTCTGAGTCCCCACGGAGGCGGCCTGTGCACGCAGCCTCGATGCCCTGGCCACCTCGTGTCCAAGGTGTGCCAATACAGTCCACCAGAACCTTTGGCTTCAGGAAGGAGTCACAAACAAGGAAAGAATGGCTTTAATCGTCATTAGGTGGGCGGTGGGGGTGTGTGTGCTTCAGTCTGGGCAGTGGGGCGGGCGGCAGCACTCCTGCGGCCGACATTATTGTACATGACAAGACAGGAAGAGCAGTCCCTTTCAAACAAACTTAAAAAATGGTTCCCAGTGGTTCGTATCAACAGAATGCAGTTATGACAATTACATGTACAGACTCACGCACCCTAGGGCTTTCTTGATCTCCTAAAGAAAACAAGCATTTACATTATTCATGATTTGTACTAAATTAAAAAAAGATCAATTGTACACTTCCTCCTCGGACAGGCTAAACTGCCGAGGTGTACAGCTTAACACCATCATCAGTTGTCTGCAAAGGAACAGGTTAAAAACAAAAGGCTTTCTTGAGAATGAAGTACCTCTCACTCGCTGCTATAACCAGCAAGTGCCAGCGGTAACCAAAATGGAGGAGGGCCAGCAGGTCCCCCGGGCAGGCTGACCAGCACATTACAGTTTAAAAAGGAGGGTTATGTACGCTATGTTACAAGTCCCAGCTAGGCAGTGTCAGTGACATCTATTTCTTTGCTTGCTTTGTGATCATACCCCTTGGCGGTGTGACGGGTCTCGTGGCGTTGGGCTTCTTTTTCTCTGCAGGCTTTAAAATCTGCAAAGAGGAAGACACCAGGCACCTTAGGAAATGCACTCGGGGTCTCGGTCTTTTCACATCTTCCACTAGGAAGTTCCTGTCTAACACCGCCCCCAACCCACACTCAGAAACCCCTCCAGCACATCACCCTCAGAGCTCCTAGTGCATGAGTACTGTGGTGGAGACATGCATGGCATAAGGCTAAAATATGTGACTTGGCAAAAAAGTTCCTGTCTGGGTAAAATGAGAAAGTCTAGAGAGCTCCCACGACCTTGGGGAGTTCTGTGGAAGGCACAGGCGTTTGCCATCTCTGGGGATGCTGAGGGGTGCCTCAGGACTTCCATGGCTACATGTGAAATGGATCACGCCTACTATGCAGAGCAAATGTGAGAAACAGCCCAAGAGCCAGAGATGATGTTATAGAAAAGGAGCCCCATGTGGTGGCGCACACCTTTAACCCCAGCACACAGGAGGCAGAGGCAGGGGGATCTCTGTTAAGTTAGAGATCAGCCTGGCCTACACATGGAGTTCTGGGCCAGTAAGGGCTACAAAGACAATTTCAAAAAAGCCACCCCTTCCCCCAAAGCGCTAACTGTAAAGTGATGATGCAACCCATCATTTGCTTTCACCTACTTAAAGAATTCAACTACACCAAGTTCAACACTGGGGAAGGCCCCACACGTTACTCCCACGGACAAACACAGAAAGCAGCGCAAGAACGGTTCCCTGGAAGGCAGCAGCACCGTCTCACCTGGAAAGAGCACATGAGGGTCTCGTCCACACTCATCATGGCACCTGCATTGTCAAACTCGCCGCAGTAGTTGGGTGCAGAAAACAGAGTGACTAACTGCCTCTTTGCAAAAAACTCATACCCATCTTCAACCACCTGCGGAGAGACAGCGTCAGTGTGAGCGGCTGCGAGCTCCGGCCATGCCACTCGTCCCCCACTGAGCTTGGCCTCCTGCCGCTCGCTCTCCCCAGAGGCACACTGTGTGGCAAGCCATACCTACCCACCAAAATCAACAAGGAGAATCTGCTCACACACATGCTCTAAGTGTACATGTAAAATTCAAAATCAATACCTGATGGGCTCTACATATAAGATCCAAATCATGCTTATGGAGAAATTTTGCAACCACTTCTGCACCAAATGTGAAGGACACTCCTCTGTCATTTTCACCCCAGCCTAAGACATCTTTATCGGGGTCAGACCACAAAAGATCACAAAGAAGACCTTGATCTGGTACATCAGTTGGTCTCATAATTCGCCGAATCTGCTCCATAGATTGAAGATCTGGTGATAAACCTATCAAGGGGGAGGACAGAACACTGAGCACGCCGGCAGCCTCCTGCCTGCAGAGGCTGCTGCCAAACGCTGCTGCAGGCAAACCTGCGGCTCTTCTGTTTACTTGGTTCCAGGGAAAACAATGCAACAAAAACCCGCCACCAAATAGTAGGCCCGAAATCTGCCGCACTGGTGAGTCAGCACCCAGTGACCGCGACTCCACACGCCTCCCAACAGAGGGCAGCCCGGTGGACACACCAGGTAGGTGCACCATCAGCACAGAAAGGCGGGCCCAGGGACAAGGCTCAGCGGTGAGGCAGCTCCAGAGCCTCTGCTGTCCACAGACCACAAATGGACAGGAACAGCCACGACACAGTCTGTGACTGCATGTACCTATCCATGAGGGCAGAGCAGAGACTGTCCTTAATGCAGTTGGTATGTTTTGATAGCTGCTTCATTCCCAATGTCACCCCAAACCCCAGATCTCTGCAGTTTCTGTCTACCTCACACACAGCAAGGCTATGGAGCAGAGCTAAACTGCTTCTGGAAGGAGCCCCAGACAGAAGGGTAGAGGCAAACACAGCTGAGCAGACGCACTAGGACTCCTTTGGTATTAAAAACACGCTCTCCTCTCAACCTTCCCTCACACTCGACCCAAACGACACTGGCTGTGTCACCACGGACGAACCCTAAAGCATGCACCACAGTGGCCTGGGGGAGGCCATCATGCCCAGTCTACCTTTCAGAAGGGGTACAAGCTACTTGGGTGAAGGCAGCCACATACCTCCATGACAGCAGAATATCTTCTCATCCACGATGGCTGCTATCGGTAAGCAGTTAAAACAGTCTGTGAACGTTTTCCACAGCTTAATGTTGTATCTTCTTTTGCCTGTGAGAATGCAGAAAGTCACCTCACTGTTCCATACCTGAAACACGCCAGCATCAAGAGGCCCTGCAGCCTCAGGAGGCTGGTGCAGGACCCCTGAGCTGGCCCATCGAGAGGCAACAACACATCCCCACAGATCTAGACAGGGACACCTCAGACCGCCACAGCTCGTGGGCAGCACCCATTCTCCTGAAGCCTCAGCTGCTCGGTCTGATCTTCACCTAGAGGGAACCTCAATGCTCAAGACAATCACCACATCCTCACGTGCGTCACTCTTCCTACAGGGGCTGAGTTCCGGCACTCACTCCAACCAGACAACCAGACAGAACCCGAACCCCTATTTGGAAGGTCTAGGGACTCTAGGGATGGGTGCACACTCAGAACTCCCCGGAGAAGCAAGAATATAGGGTTCTGGCCCCTCCTCCACTTGCCCTTCAGCATCCTTCTGTGTGGCGCCTTAGTTAGCAACTACCCGATTAGTTCTCTTAATTGGCTAAGGACCTCTGCCTCCTGGGCCATCTCACACTCAAGACCATGTTTGTACTGTCCCCACACTCAGACTGCCTTTTTTACGGGACACAGGGACAGCCAAGGCCTAGACTCACTTCTTGGAGAGTCTCACCTGGAAGGAGAGTGCCCAAGCCGCCTGCAGCTTTCTAGGACACTCGGCCAGCCCTCCACAGCCCACAGCCCACATGACTTCACTACAAACACTGCACTGTGTGATACATTCGCAAGCGCTAAGCCACCAGACTCCCTCAAGCACCTGCCACTCCAGCCCAAAGGACAGGGCAACCAAAGGCTCAAACCTGACATTCTGTTTGTGTGAAACAATCCAAACCCTCCACCAAACCAGTCTCCTTTCCCCACACCAGTTCTTCTCAAGGCTCTGGAAGCATCTTACTTGTCAATGACCAACTTAAAGTGCAGCCTCACTAACAACGCAGAGCTGGGTGGGGTGGGCATCTGAAGGGCCCCCAGTCAGGAAGCTGGAGCAGGCGCCACAAGGCCGAGGCCAGCATGAGCTATTCAGTAAGAACATTCCAGAAAAACTCAAAGTAAAATGAGATAACCCAAAATGGACCAGAAAATACACAAAATATTATTTTAAGATAAAATGAAGAGCTAGTGTGATGGCTAGGGGTAAAACGCTCACTGCTGAAGCCTGGAACCCAAGTAAAGGTAGAGACAACCAACTCCACAAACTCTGACCTCCTCTATCCTCTTCACCCTCCACATCAAACACACAAAAACTAACAACTTCTTTATTTTAATTTTACATGCACTGGTGTTTTGCTCGCATGTATGTCTATGTGAGAGGGTTTGATCCACTGGAACTGGAGTTACAGACAGGTAAGACAGGTACAGACAGGTGTAAGCTGCCACGTGGGTGATGGGAATTGAACCTGGGTCCTCTTGAAGAACAGTGCTCTTAACTGCTGAGCCATCTCTTCAGGCCCACAAAATGTAGTTTTTACAGTATTTCTTTCTCCATTAAGCATATTTCAAAAAAAGTTAGTGCCCCTTTCCTAAATACATGCTTGAAGATGTATGCTTAAAGAACACAACATACATTTCAAAACCAACTGTTTCACGGCAAGCCCCACTTCCACACACCATCCTCTAGCAGGCCAAGCCAGCAACAGAGCAGAGCATCACCTGCGGCTGTGGTCCAGCTCTCAATTCACAGGTCACTGACTCACATGCTTTCCACAGACGCTCGACAGAACCAATCTAAGTGGAGCCGTGAAAAGCAGATCATTTGGACAGTCTCAGAGCTGCACTAAGAACAAAGCCTTGTGTGCCATCAAGACAGTCCGTGGGCTCTTCACATCCAATCCCATCAGCACCTGTGTTCAGGCAGCACTGCCAAGACCAGGGTAAGGGCAGGCGAGCAGCTCCGCTCTGCCAGCTTCAGCACCACAGCCCCGTCAAGCCCTTGCCCTTGGACTCACAGATACTTACACTCATCGTAAAAGCCGTAGATCCTATTGATGCTGGCACACTCATGGTTCCCCCGGAGAAGGAAAAAGTTCTCCGGATACTTGATTTTGTAGGCCAGCAAGAGGCAGATCGTCTCCAGTGACTGCTTGCCTCTGTCCACATAGTCCCCGAGAAACAGATAGTTGCTTTCTGGCGGGAAGCCACCATATTCAAACAGCCGGAGCAAATCGTAGTACTGCCCGTGGATGTCACCTGGAGACAAGAACTCTCAGTGTTGCCATCTGCACGCCATCAGCTCACTGACAAAACCTTGGCAAGACCCCCTTAAACATCCATCACATGATAATGGCCTCTAACAAGTTCACAGCCAACACTAATTCCCAACCTTGGAGCATATTTAGTTCAAGTGACCATGGTAAAGCAAACTGACATGTCCAGAGCCCCCCCCACAGACACACTAATTAATTTATCTGTGGTAAAGAATAAAGAGTATCTTGTCTCAGGAAGCTTCCTGCCAAGTACTGTGGGTCCCTCTCAGACTGGGCTCAGTTTCAGGGTCCTGTGTCAGCACTTCCTTCTGAGTGTCCAGTGAGCTTGACCCCTCACAACACTAGCAGCCAAGCACCAGCCGCAGCCACAATCTTTAACTGCTGCCATATCAAAGCCAATGGCGGCTCACTCTAAGCACACATGGTTTATCCAAAGTCAGAGATGCATCCCATCCCCACCCAGACTGCCCAGCTTTACAGGATGACCTGCACCTGCTCCGTACAGCAGTGAGCTAAACTAGACCCGGCTACCATCCCCATCCCCGCTGCAGTACCCATAATCCTTCAGAGAACAACTTTAAAACTCAAAACTTCCTCAACAGCTACCACCTCACTCAACATTAAGGGCCACCAAGGTGCCACAACCAAGGGTCAGCGGAGCGATGGCCACACTCACCACATATCTTGAGTGGTGCTTCAAGTTCTAGGAGGATAGGCTGACTGAGGAAGATCTCCCGAGACTTCAAGCAGAGTCCTCGGATCTCGTTCTCCTGTAGCTGGACATTCTTGCCTGGCTTGGACCCCCTCACTGTGGAGAGAACGGCAGTCAGGACACAGCTTCACACAGAAACATCTAATTCTCAGCCCTCAGGGTCAAGAGGACCCGAGTTCCAGTCCCTTTACCCACAGCAGGCAACTCATCACTACCTGTAACTCCAGATCTGTGGGGCCAGAGAGGTCTCTGGCCTTGGCTGGCACCCACACTCAAATGCACAGTCCACATGCGTTAAAATAAAAAGAATCTTAAAAACCAGGCTGGGCTTGGTGGCGTACACCTTTGATCCCCACCAGCCTGGACTACAAAGGAGTTCATATTAGTTGGCTGGCCTAGATGGTCTCAATTGGAATCCTTTAGTGTAGTCTCAAGGTCACTCTGGCTGGGCCTGGATCTGATGTGTCAGAGTGCCATCCCCTGAACACACTCCTACCCTGTGCCACATTCAAGACACCATGACAGTCAGTGCCTTCTACTCCCAATCCTCTCTAGTTTTCTGCAGTGGGAAAGGTCACCCTGTCATGTCATGTCACTAAGTCTGTCCTCAGAGCAGCCTGACTTAACAGAAATGTCCAGAATCATCTACCCATTGTTACTTTCTCAGGATCAAGTGCAATGCCATGGTCTCTAATTTATGAGGTCTGAGTGTCAGTTGCATTTCATTTTAATTTGTAATTTGCATTTCATTGCAGCCATAGTAGGGGCTGCAGAGTTCACTGGTTAAGAGCACTGGCTGCTCTTGTAGAGAACCCAGGTTCAATTCCCAACACCCACATGGCAGTTTATAACTGTCTGTAACTCCAGTTCTAGTGGATCCAACACCATCTCCTGGCCTCTGAGGGCACTAGACAAGCACTCAGTGCCCAAACACACGCAGGCAAAACCACCACACACACAAAATAACTTATAAAAAATACACTAGAAGCCAGGAAGGCCGATGGCCCTGTCAGTAAAAAGCCTGCCTTGCAAGCAATGCATGAGGACAGGTTGGAGCCCCAAACTCACAGAAAAGCCATGCCTGATGACCCACACCCACAATTCCAGGGCTGCAGGGGTAGAAACAGGCAGCTCTGGGACTGGGCGGCCAACCAGTAGCAGCCACCTAATCTAATTGGTGAGCCAGTGAAAGATCCTATGAGGGAGGGGGTTATCTTGAATGAATGATGCGATAAACCCTGAGGTTATCCTCTGGTATTCATATCCAAAATATGCCACACGCTCCTCATGTTTACTTTGGTGTGCACACTGTAAACTTGCACACAATGAGAAATGTCAGCACCTGCTGAGAGGTCTCGTCCCAGGCATCCAAAACAACTCTGGGCCAGCACCAGTCATGACTCCTGAGCTCTGCCCATGCCGCAGGAGGCAAGTGTGACAGCAGTGGAGACGGTGTGTGGGCTCCAGTGACAAGAGCTCAGACAGTCACGTGGACTGAAGAAACAGCTTCACCTGCCAAGGGTCTCAACTCTCCAGTTGATGGAAGGGCCGCCACAGGCCCCGCCTGCGGCACGTCTGGTTGGCCCAGGGGCCTGATCCTCTCCGTGGGCTGGAATCTGAGTCTCTGCTTTTTGGTCCAGAAGACTGATGAAGCAGGCACTTGAGTTCCTCAGGCAGGCTAAGTAGCCCATTTAAGGCTGCACTGGTCCACCGTAAGCCAGCGTCAACGGGCTTCTTTTTAGCAGAACCCTAAACCTGAATGGTCTTACTAGCTTAAATTCTGTTCAGTTGCGGGCTTTGTCTTCCAGTCATAAAATCATTTGGCCTGACAGCTGAGTAACAGCACAAAGTCTAAGGCTTATGTAGCTTTGGGTCTGCGGTAGAGCAGACACTCCGGAAGAGGCCTGCTATGTAGAGTGGAGTCCACTCAAGGCTGCACCTCTGCTCGGAAAACGGAGCCTCGGGGAAGCTGGCCTTCAGCCTGAGCTGCAGACACCCCAGCTCCTCTGAAGGAACAAGCTGATCAGAAATGGAATGGTGCGCAGAGCAGCATCAGTTTTTTTCAGATAACCAAAGGAAAGATGAGAGGGTGAGCTCTCCAAGCAGGGAGAAAAACAAAACAAACCCAACAGGAGAAGGGGCAGGGAGTCCGTCGGGAGTGGACCCACGTGCAGCTTAGCTTCGCCCCACCCCAATGGAGATGGACTAAAGACAAAAAATGTGGGCTAGGAGCTGACTGAGGCCATCAGGGATCCTTCCTTCTCTACTCTCTACCTTACTTTTGGCTATACTGAAGGACTCAAGAATCCTGTCTCTGCCTCCCCAAGTACTAGGCTAACAGAAACCTTAAAAAGTAGATTCTGGGTCGGGCAGTGGTGGCGCACGCCTTTAATCCCAGCACTCGGGAGGCAGAGGCATGCGGATCTTTGTGAGTTCGAGGCCAGCCTGGTCTACAGAGCGAGAGCCAGGAAAGGCGCAAAGCTACACAGAGAAACCCTGTCTCGAAAAACCAAACCAACCAACCAACCAAACAAAAAAGTAGATTCTGGTGGGGCCGAACACAGGTCTCGTTTCTGCAGCAATCTTTACACTGAGCCATCTTCCCCAGCCCAGCCCCCCAATTTTATTACGGTGAGGGTGAGTGTGACTCAGAGGACAGATGTGCCGAGCTGGTTCTCTCCTTCCACCCTTTCATGGAGTTAGTTCCAGGGACTGAACTCAGGTCCCCAGGCTTCCACAGCAAGGAACTTCACCCACTGTCCACCTGTCACCGGTCCCTTCTATGTTGGTGTACTCTAGGCTAGCATGCACCTCAGGCGTGGTCAATTTTGAGAGATGGAAGCAGTCCAGCAGTAAGTCTTTGAGAGAGGACGGGAGTTAACAGGCAAGCACAAAAGCTTTCCTTTGCCACCAGAGCCACAGACAAGACAAGCAGCACTCAGGGCAGAGACGGTGGGATCTCTGCCTTACTGGGCAGAAATCTGGGCAGGCTGCCCAGCAGGAGACTTATTTTTGGTTAGGAGGAAACTCCTGGAAGCTTCTGGTTTCAACAGGAATTTTCTTCAGTGGAGCTCCACACTTGTGAATGAGCGACCCATTCTTGTGTCTTTGATGAGGAGGATCTCCATTATCTGGCTTCTCCTGGTACAGCCCACAGGCTTGCTTTGTTACAGGATTCTACTAGATAAAGTCAGATGTTGCTAATATTCCTTGATTCTAAAAGCATCCACCGCCACCTTCAGACAGTTTATGAGCTCTCTTTCTCTCTCTCTCTCTCTCTCTCTCTCTTTTTTTTTTTTTAAAGATTTTTGAGACAAGGTCTTATTATGCAGCCCTGGCCAATCTTAAACTCAGATCTATCTGTGTCTGCCTCTGCAATGCTGGAATTAAAGGTATATATACTACCACAACCAGTTGTTATTCTTGACACAGGATCTTACCATGTAGCCCAGGCTAACCCTGAAATCCACAATTCTCCTGACACCTCACCCCCTCCACCTTCTTTTCCTCCTCCCCACCCCCGCCAGAATGGGACAGGAGTTGAGTATTGTTCCTTCTGATGTAAAGATTAGACGCATACCTTATAACAGATTTCTATCTGAAAACTGGTGCACATTACACATGGCCTCAGAGCTTAACTCCATCTAGGTAACTCAAGGGAAAACAAACTCTAAAAGTATCCACTGCCACAGCACCTTCCACAGCTGGTAACAACTGCTCTTCTTTCAGGACTGCCCAGACTTCTGGAGAAGCCACTCCCTGCTCCAAGAACACACACTTTTTGAACTGCTGGCAACAACTGGTTGCCAACCAGCCCCAATGGTCAGTCTGGTTGGCCTGCTCATTGGGACACCTGATGTAGGAGGACATCTCACCCATCTTTCCTGCTGACTTAAAACCTTCGAATCAAAACATGAGACACGCCTTTAATCCCAGCACTTGGGAGGCAGAGGCAGGCAGTCCAAGGCCAGCACAGAGAAACCCCACCTTGAAAAGCTCCCCAAATCACAACATGCACAGGACTACACGCTTCAAAATGGGCTTTGCCAGGCATTCCCAGTGAGCACTGGATATGTTCTAAAAGCTGCCAAGTCAGCAAGATCTGCTTTAGTTCTCTGTGTCCCCAAGGAGAATGACTCTTCCCGAAGCTAAGTTGGGGGACCTACTGTCTGCCTAGCTTGGTGCTCTAGCTCCAAGCTCACTGCTGCTGTGTCTGCCTGCCCCTCCCAGTGAGGGGACATTTAGGCATGCTGGTAGCCATCAAAGGCTGTTCTGTAGAAACTACTTACCAGAACTAATATCAGTGTATCAAAGAAGTTTCACCAAAACCCCCACTGTCAACAAAAAGCCCAACCGGAGTTGATAAACCCCGAGACCAACCGATGTTGATGATGGTTATTTGAAGCCCTAGCATCTCTAGACAGCAGTAACTTTCCACAGCCTAGCAACAAGCAAAGGAAACAGCATTACAGGAGGTGGAGGACACCAAATAACTGCGGCTAGAAAAGCCTTCTCCACAGGTTTGGTGAAACCCATACCCACAGTGCACCAAGCCCTGGGTCCACCCCTGCATAAAACTGGATTTGGTATCGAGAAACAGAAACTTAAGGTCATTTTCATCTACACAGAAGTGTCTAGGCCAGCCTAGGCCACAGGAAACCAAGAGCAGCCCAAAAGGACCAAGTCAGCGGCCCTTGCTGTCTGAATACAGCCTTCCTCAAGCAGCAGTCAGTCAAGCTCTCGGGAGGCAGGATCAGGCAGATCTCTGGGAGTCCAAGGTCAGCCTGACCTACATAGTAAGACCCTGTTGAAAAAAAAAATTTTCTTTACCTTCATAGTATTTTAAAAATTGTTAGAAAAGGGGGCTGGAGAAATGGCTTAGAGGTTAAGAGCACTGGCTGCTCTTCCAGAGGTCCTGAGTTCAATTCCCAGCAACCACATGGTGGCTCACAACCATCTGTAATGATATCTGGCGCCCTCTTCTGGTGTGCAGGCATACATGCAGGCAGAACATTGTATACATAATAAATAAATCTTTAAAAAAAATGTTAGAAAAAATCTCACTGGGTGGTAGTGGCACGAGGCTCTGTGAGTTCAAGGCCAGCCTGGTCTACAGAGCGAGTTCTAGGACAGGCTCCAAAGCTACATAGAAAAACCCTGTGTGTGTGTGGGGGGGGGGGGGGGGGGGGGGGGGGGGGGGGGGGGGGGGGGGGGGGGGGGGGGAGAAGGACCAGAATTCCAGCTCAAGGAAATGGGATCTGCCTTACTTTAAGGGGCCTGTGGGGTTTCCAGCAGCCCCATAAGTCAATGAAAGCCTAGGACTGCCCTGCTGCCCCACCTCCCCCAGGCAAAGGGGCAGTCAAGGCTCTGGGAGTCATCACTGCCAAAGTGGGGTTTTAAAACAGGCCCCAAAGCACCTGCAGACCATGAGGGAGCCCTGCCCTGCCTTCCAGGTGAAGTATGGGGACACACACCTGTCCACACTGGAGAGCAGAGCTTTAAATCAGGATGTCCTTGTTAAAATGATCTTGTTTGTGCACTCTGCTCAGTTTGAAGATCTGCATCAAGCTCATGGTCGTCACTTATCTTTTAGCTACAGCCTTCTGGAACCTCTAGAGCAGCAGGCGCACTGAGAAGCCACAGATTTTAGAGACTTTCAGGACTTCAGACAGTCTTCCGAGATGAGAACTGGGAAGCACTCTATATTAATACACCCTGACAATGACCTTCCTTTACAGCAACACCAAGATGTGAAGCGATTGCAATCACTTGGTATTCATCAAGAAAAACACTAGAGTTTCATGAAGAAAGCACCCCAACTCCACCCCTCCCCTTTTTTTTAAACCAAAACAACAGAGCAAGAGGCCAAGTCCAAACAAACACAGCTAGCCTACTTTCTATTTAAATCTCTTCTGCTTGAGCATGGAGCTAGCAATGTGCTAACATCAGAACGTGCTAAGGAGTACCACACAGACCTTCCATCAGAGTGGCTGACCACACAGGGGAACTGGGCTCAGGAAAAAGCTATTGTACGTGAGAGTGCTGCAAAGCTATTGTGCTTCTGATCCAAACCGAATTTCCTGTGGGTTTTTTTTTTTTGACAGGGTCTGTAGTCCAAGCTGGCCTCTAACAAACTCAATATGTAGCAGAGGCTAGTCTTGACCTCTTGACTCCATCTAAGTGCCAGGGGACTGACTATAGGTCTATACCATGTCACCATTTAGCCATTGGTGGCCTGAAACTTATTTTGTAAATTAGGCTGTCCTTGAACTCAGAGATCCACTGCCTCTGCTTCCCAGTGTTGGAATTAAAGGTGTGTGTCACCATGCCCAGCTTAAACACATACATGTATGTGTGTGCCTTCAGAAGCCAGGTGTCTGATCCCCTAAAGCTGTGGTAGGCATTGAGCTGCCTGGGGTGTGTGCTGGGAACTGAGGTTGGATCCCCTGGAAGAGTAAGATATGCCCTTAACCATCTCTCCAGCCCTTGTTTTTTTGAGACAGGGTCTCACTATGTATAGCTGGCTGGTGTGAAATTTGGTCTGTAGACCAGGCTGGCCTTCCAGCTCACAGTTCTGGGATTAAACGTGTGTGACACCACACCCAATGTCACCTTTTTTTTTTTTTTTTTCCTTTGGTTTTTTGAGACAGGGTTTCTCTGTGTAGCTTTGCGCCTTTCCTGGAACTCACTTGGTAGTCCAGGCTGGCCTCAAACTCACAGAGATCCGCCTGGCTCTGCCTCCCAAGTGCTGGGATTAAAGGCATGCGCCACCACCGCCCGGCCAATGTCACCTTTTATTACTAAAGAACCCCTTCTCAACTAGTTCATACAGTCCTCAAGTTTGGAATTTCTTGGGAAGGGTTCCACTTATGAGAAACCCCTTGCTAACCAACAGAACCTGGCCTAGAACATCTGGATTTTCATGTCTCAGACTCCAGAGTGTTGGGGTAGCAAGGTGTCCCTGACTACAAAAGATCAATTATCAATGAGAAAAAAAATGCCTCAAGTGACAAATCTTTTTGTTTTTTTTTTTTTTTGGTTTTTCGAGACAGAGTTTCTCTGTGTAGCTTTGCGCCTTTCCTGGCTCTCGCTCTGTAGACCAGGCTGGCCTCGAACTCACAAAGATCCGCATGCCTCTGCCTCCCGAGTGCTGGGATTAAAGGCGTGCGCCACTACCGCCCGGCAGAATTAAACTTTTTTAAAAAAGCACTTCTATTATGTATGCACGTGTGCAAGCACACACCTGTGGGGAGCATTTGTGGGGAGGTGGGACACTTCCAGGAGTCTGGCTCTCCTCTCCATTTGTGTGGGTCCTAGGATCCAATCAGGTCTTCAGGGTTAAGGCAAGAGCCATCAGCAGCTGAGCTGTCTCTACAGTCTGAGAACTGCTTAAGTGTTTAGAGACGAGGGTGTTACAGAGAGCACAATGCCACTCTCTCTAAAGGAGAAGTGCACCCATCTCAGCAGATGGCTGTGGTTTCTGTTAAGTTCATGGACAGAAATAAGAAGAAATATGTACTGTGTAGCTAGATTATTCTCAACGCAATTAAATACAGTACCTTACTCTATTAAGTTCAAAAGAAAATAAAAAACCAGCCTGGACACAGTGGTACAGTCTGGAATTCCAACACTGAGGAGGCAGAGGCAGGCAGATCTCTGAATTTCAGTCTAGCCTTTGCTTTGTAGTGACACTCAAGTCTCAAAATTTTAAAAATAACTGTCGAGCCGGGCGGTGGTGGCGCACGCCTTTAATCCCAGCACTCGGGAGGCAGAGCCAGGTGGATCTCTGTGAGTTCGAGGCCAGCCTGGGCTACCAAGTGAGTTCCAGGAGAGGCGCAAAGCTACACAGAGAAACCCTGTCTCGAAAAAACCAAAAAAAAAAAAAAAAAAAAAAACTGTCAAGAAACTGTAGGGGACAGACGGTGGTGGCGCACACCTCTAATCCCAGCACTTGGGGGGGGCAGAGGCAGGCAGACCTCGAGTTCAAGGCCAGCCTGGTCTACACAGAGAAACCCTGTCTTGAACTGCCCTCCCCCCCAAAAAAAGAAAGAAAAAAAAAGAAAAGTGAGGGGGGAGGCTGAAGTGGTGGTTCAGCAGCTAAGGGTACTTGCTGCTCTTTGGGGATAATCCTGGTTCCATTTCCAGCTCACAACCATCTGGAACTCCAGTTCCAGAGGCCTCAAGGCCCCTTTCTGACCTCTCTGGGCAGAGGCATGCATGCGGTGCACATGCACACATGCAGACAAAACTATAAACGTACAATCTAAAAACGAAACTTTTTTTAAAGGGGGAGAAAGGGGAACTGGTGAGGCAAGTCTGACCTACGCTGGATCTCCAGAATGTACAAAGATAGGAACCAACTACCCCCAAATGTCCTCTAATCCCCACCTGTGCCCTGTGTGTACCTACACAAATCCCATACACATCCCACACGAAAAAAATAAGTAAAAATATTTTAAAACAAAAGATGAGCAAACTTTACTGCCAAAACTTTCGGCACAGGTTGTAAACATTAAAAAAAAATAATAATAATCAAAAGCTGGGCTGGAGATGCAGCCCAGGTCACGGTGGAGTGCTTACTCAGCATGTAAGAAGCCTTGGGTTCAATCCCCAGCACTTCATAAACCAGGCTTGGTGGCTTATAAACTCTAGTACTGGGGAGGCAGAAGGATCAAGGAGTTCAGGGCCAGCTCCGGCTCCGTGAGGCTTTATCTAGGGGGTATGGTGATATGCGCCTTTTATCCGAGCACTCAGGAAGGGGAGGCAGATGGATCTGAGAGTTTGAGACTAGCTCCAGGACAGCCAGGACCGGAGAGACAGTGTCTCAATAAAACCAAAAACAAAAGAGACCCTATCTAAACAAAACAGTATTAAAGGGAGAAAATGCACACATTTTTAAAAGACAGGCCTTTTTTACTTTTCCTTCAATGACTTATTTGAAAACATCGACCAGCAGAACTATGCAGCCGCTCTCCAGCACTCACAGCGTTACGCTCCAACAGTATTTTAGGCAGAAGCAGTGAAAGCCGACTAGTTAACATTAAGAGCCCAAATCAAAAAGGGGGGCTCGGAACACCTCGGCATTAGCTCGGGAATGTGCGGGGAGCGGGATCCCGAGTCCCAATGTACAATTTTCATCTCTCACAACTAGGAACCCCACTGCAGCCCCCCCCCCCCCCAGCCCACCCGAGCCCGTCTGAAGTCGGACAAAAGGCAAAGCTTTATTTCCTAACCTTTTCCTCGGCCACTGGGCATGCCCTGCGCTCCCACGGGGTGACCAGCGGCAGGCAGCAGGTTCTCTCTAGATCCTGGCTACCGGGGGTTTGAAAACCCTTGACTGTTGTTCGCTGCGTCCTTGGTCCAGCGAGGTCTTTGAAGTTTCTCCTGCGAGACACTTCCCAGGCTACCACAGCGGCACCTACCTGGCAGGGCGCTCGCTGAATGCAGCGGCGTGCCCCTATCTATCCTCAGGCCAACCATCGGATGAGCCGAGAGCCACACTGTCACCCGGGCCGGGGCTGGGTCCGTGTGCAGAGGATGCACGTTCAAGGGGGAAAGAGAGCCGGAGGGAGGATGGCTTTTCTTTGGGGGGGGGGAGGGAGAATGCAGGAGACGGGCTCTCATCGCCCTGGGACGTCGCCCCGCCAAGTCACACGGATGGGTCCCTTGCACTCCAGATTGTGAGAATGTGAAAAGCAAGGGCAGGGAAGGGGAATGGAATAATAAAAAAAAAAAAAAAAAAAAAGGACGGGAGTCCCCAGACCCGGAGGCGCTGGCTGTGTGCGCGCCCCAGATCCCCGCGGCTTCCGAGAAGCGCCGGCCCACCCCGCCGGCCGCCCCCGCGCCGCTCACCTTCCAGCAGCCGTTGGATGATGCTGTCGATGTTCAGTTTATCGATATCCGCCATCGCCGTCCCGCCGCCGGCCCTCCCGCCGCCGCAGCAGCGGCAGCGGCAGCAGCAGCGGCGCCGCCGCCGGCTCGCGCCCGGGCCTCACACGTCCTCCTTCCTCACGCCGCGAGCCCCACGAGCGGTGGCAGCGGCGGCGGCGGCGGCGGCGGCGGTGGTGGTGGTGGTGGGCAGCAGCAGCCGCGGCGGGTCCACCCCCCCCCCCAGCCGCCCCCGCTCCCGGCTTCCTCCTCCTCCTCCTCCTCCTCTCGCCACGGGAACCACGAGAAGAACAAAATGGCCGCCGACTCGTCAGGCCAGCCTCGGGCGGCGCACGGATGCGCGCGCGGGAGTGCAGCGGCCCGGCCGGGACTTCTTTACGGGCCCATAAGGGCGCGCGGGCCGGGGGCGGGGCCGGGGGCGGGGCCGGGGCGGGGCCGGCGGCGCGCCGGGGGGCGGGGCCCGGGCGGGGAACGGTTGAGCGACGCCGCGGCCCGCGCGCGGGATCCTTCCGCCAAACGGGCGGGAGGGCGGGCGGGGCGGGGAGAGTGTTGGGGAGGGTGGAGGGTGGAAATAGGACACCCGCCGCGGCGGGAGAGTGAAGTTGCAAAGTTGGCGCGCGCCGCGTTGGAGCTGGGGGTATTGTCCTGGCGGCCGCGCGCTGCCCGAGGGTCAAGAGCTCCTCCCCGGTCCCCGCTCCTTGGGGACGGATGTCGGCCGACCTGGCGGGGTGGGAGCCCGCCAAGGGAGTCAGTCACCCCTCGGAACCAATCTGGGTTGGGGTTACCCATGGAGGAAGGATCATTAGGAGAAGGAGGGTTGGAGTGTGGACGGTTCAACTATGCTGGCTCGTATTGGTGAACAAAACGCTTGTGTGAGACCCTGGGTTCAATCCCCAGCGCTGCCAAGATTTCGTAATACTGCAATAAAGTCTCTGAGGTCCAGTATTTGAAAAAAGAAAGCCTCCCCCAGATAAACCAAAATGTTAATCCATTGTGAGAGGCACGTATTTCAGGAACTTGTGTACCCCTTGTGTGCGCTTCTGCAATTTTACATTTTAGGGGGAGGCTGGGAGAACTCTGTTAAGGTGCCACCTACCTTGGAGTGATCTTTCTTGAACTCGGAAAGTTATATAATAGCTGAGAGGTTCTCCCCTGGATTTAGCCCAAGCTGGATTGAATGAGCGCGCGGCCGCAGATAAGATGGGAATTTGCACATTTTGCCGGAGGAATGTGGGTTAGAGGCCGCTGTGCGCGCCAGGCTTCATCCAGCACATTCACGGCCGCTGCTTGCCTCTGGCTCCCTCGCCTCCCCAAGAGCACCCTTCCCCAGGGGGCCCCCAACTCTGCCGCCCAGCAGGCTAACTGGATCTGGAAATGCACACCCACCTGACCCATTGATCTCTCCAGGCCGCACTTCACAGTTTACAAAGTTCTCTTCCCCACCCCCACTCCAGAAGCCTGTGATGCTCCAAGCAAGAGGGATGCCGGGATTCTCTTCCATGTGTGCCTTGCAAGGTGGCTTCCCCATCTGGAGATTCGCTTTCTGCAAGCAATTGCCTTCCCAGGCCTCAGCCACATGGCGTGGCGTGCACCCTTCCGGATCTCTGGCCCCCTTCCTGCTGCTGGCGCCGACGGTGGAGCTTTAGGATTCACCCCAGCTCCCCTCAGCTGTCGGCTCCACTTTGCTCAGTCACCAACTCACTCTCGCATGCTATGGTTTTGCCCACCAGTCCCACAAATGTCATGCCGTCAGCCCAAGGCACCTGGCTCAGTAGACATCTTGACATCTGGGGTGGGTGCCAAGCCCTGCTGTGAATATGTATGTGTGCGTCTCTCACCGAGTTTCTGGGACCTTGGGCTCCTCCAGGGCAGGGTGTATCTTCCCTATGACACTTTGGGGGGCAGGAATATGAAAGACAGGTTCACTCAGGAGACAAATATTTACAGACTGCCTACTCCGTTCCTGAGTATTTCCTAGGCGTGGAGCAGGGTGAGCAAGACAGAAAAACCTCTCTTTCCCGGGAGATTCATATAGTGGGATGGAGAGATAAACACACTGCATTCTTATCTGTAGGAGTTGTCTCATTGTGGGGGCCAGCTAAACGGCTCCGTGGGCGCAGGTGATTGCCACCAAGCCTGCCAATCTGAGTTCCAGCCCCAACACCCTAATGGAGGAAGAGAGAAAACGCCCACAGGTTGTCCTCTGGTCTCCAAGCAGACATATGTACAAGATAAATTAAAATGTAACAAAATATTTTAATGAAAAAAATTACGTCAAGGCTAGGCATGGTTGGTTGTAAATGCCTTTCATCCCAGCACTGGGGAGGCAGAGGTAGGCAGATCTTTGTAAGTTTGAGGTAAGTTGAAGGCTGGCCAAGGCTCCAGAACAAAACCCGTGTTAAACAAAACAAAAATTACATCCTTGAATCCCCAATACAACCCTGGAGATTGTATATTCCCATCATGCCCATTTTACAGATGAAGTCAGGCACAGAGAGGCTAGGTTGTTTGATGAAGGTTCACACAGCTGGTAAGTTCCAGGGCAGGGCTAGAACTGGAGACAGCCTGAAACCACAGTCTTTTGTTTAATAAATCCCCAAATGGGGCCTCGGGAGCCCAGCAAACTGTGGCGTACGCTGTGCGTATCACCATGGGGAAAGCTATGGAATGATCTAAATGTTTACACACACAGCCCTAATTCTCTAGCTGCCAAATGGTAGGTGTGTGTAGGTCACGCAGTCCACGTGGTGATAGCTGAAGGAAAGTTACAGAGCGAGCCGGTACAGGGGACAGTTTCTGTCTATGAAGCAACCTCAGTGGACAGTCTCCCTCCAGAGTCCATAACCACGCCTGCCTCAGAGAGAGCCGGATCCCTTGAGAGTGGCCAAGGTCAAGTTGAGAGCCCCAACCGCATCCAGGAACCCACAGCTCTTGGAGGATGACATTCAACTCCTCATTCTCCTGCCTCCGCCTCCAGAATGTTGAAATTCCAGGAGTGGCTGCCAAACCTGCTCTGTGCCTTACCGGAGACAGAGCCCATGCTAGGAGACCACTCTACCAAAGGAGCCGTATCACAGTCCCTTCAGGAAATTTTACTTAAAAATACAGGTTTTTAATCAGAAAAGCTGGGATTGGGTGGGGCATGTGCTTCGATGGAGACACACTAGCAGCTCAGAAACTCAGCTTGTTTATTATATACCGCAGAATGAGGAGGGGGTAGGTTTAATATAGACAGGTGAAGGAGGAGGCAGGTTAGCTAATCCGGGTAGGAAGTCTCTGTACAGGAGGCAGTCTCGGGCTATAATCACCCAGGAGGAGGAAGCCGTGATTGATACTTTCTGTTCACACTGTCAACATCAGTCCTCAGACCAGGAGAAGGCTCTGCCATTCCCACGGCTCTGAGGCATTGGAGTCCTTGGCATGGCTATGCCCAAGTCAACAGTACACACTGACTCAGGACTTCATATACTTTCCACAGGGCTGGGCCTTCCTCTTATCAATTAGCAGTCTAGCAAATGCCCACAGACTTGCCTACAGGAAATCTAAAAGAGGCATTTTTCCAACTGAGGTTCCTTTCTCCAGATAACTGTATGTAGCTTGTATCAAGTTGACAAAAAAAAAAACCAAACCAAACCTCCCATCATTACTATAAACCCATTTTGTATCACCAACTCCCAACATCTATCTTTCTCACATCCTCAACCCTCATACAGTTTCCCAACAAAATCTGAATGTGGGTGGACTTCTAGGTGTCTAGGTGACATGCAGCTCCAGGTCACAAGGAAACCACAAGAGCCCTCTGAGGCAAGAAGGCAAACATCCTGCTCTTGGCATGGACAAGAGAAAGAAAACAAATTCGTCTGGGGGTTTTAGGGAATGAGACTAAAGACACTAACATGCCCATCAAGTGTCATGCTATGTATTCTCCATGCTCTGTTTACAACTCTCATAGTTCCAAAAGTTGTCTTTCTGTGAGTGGTGTCTGGATCATTATTTCCAATCATGCTCTCTTGTCTCTGCCTGCTACACATCATTTCCATTGAACACATGGGCCACTTCAGACTCAGCAGGTCCAAAAATGATGTTCAACCTATTATATATATATATATATATATATACATATATATATACATATATATATGTGTATATATATGTATATATATATGTATATATATATAAAGAGAGACTATGGTGATTAGAAGGTCCCCAACAGACCCATTTACTGAACACTTGGCCCTCAATTCATGGCACTGTGGGGAGGTCATAAGAACCTTTCGGAAGTGGAGCCTTGTCACTGGGGGTCAAGCTTTGAAGGTTCATAGCCTTAACCCCACTTCCTGCTCTCAGCCTCTGCTTCCGGTGTGTGGGTGAAAATGTGATCAGCCAGCTTCCTGCTCACGCTAACACGCCATGCTTTCCCCATCATGATAGATTCTACCCCCCCAAAACTATTAGCCAAAATAAACTCTTTCTTCCTTTAAAATAAAAAGATATATATATATATATATGTGTGTGTGTGTGTGTGTGTGTGTGTGTGTGTGTGTGTGTGTGTGTGTGTTTTAAAAGAATGTTCTGTCTGATCTGCAGAGATTTCCAAGACATCTAC